AAATAAAAGCCCAAAAGATAATCCTCAGAAAAACACAATCAGTCGTGTATTTGCAGATATAAAAATGAACACAGAGCCCTCGAGGGGGCCCCAGCAGGGATCCAGACTTGCTTCTTCTGTGATCTGTTCACAATACTGAGCTACAAATTTGTATCCCACTGCATGTGGCCTACATGCTATTTCCTTAAAACTAACACTATCAGGGTTGCCATGACAAACTTTAAAGCACAGACGAAGCAGTTTGAGCACCAATTCAAGAATGTCAAACTAGCTTATTTTGGGATGGTTAAGATTATTTATCCACCGAAAGGCAAACTCAACTGTCAAGCTCAATTTGAATTAATTTCAAGGTAAGTGGAATTGATTTGCCGTAGTTACATATTCAGCCTGTTTTTCAGCTGATAGGAAGGAAGTGTGGAACATGCAGTGAATTGTGGTCACATCACTACTGAAAACCATGCAAGAAAAACAAGAGATTAACCAAAACCTAAAATAAACAAACGTTCACCCCTTTTGGTTTTGAGATTGATAACAGTTCCTCTAAAACACTAATGATACTGCATGCTTGTAGCTGCTTTTACATGTCTCGTTGGTGTCAGTTCATATCGACGTCAGAAAATCCTGCAGAACGAACTGAAAAGTCTTTAGAAACAAAGAGAAACATGGACAGCAGCGTATGAAGTTGCTGACGTGCAGAAAAGTTTAACTCAGGGATGCATTTGGTGTAAATCAGCCTGAAACTACTTCAAATTCTCACACCCAAAAAAGCTCTGTACATTAGTGTGAGTCAGCTGCTTTCAGTGCACTTAATGGTTTAAAGATTCACAACCAAACCTGCTCAGACTGAAGTGACTCACTGACTGTTTAACAGTATTCAGATCTCTCTCTGAGTGTGTGGGAATGATTCAGGCTTAATTCTGCTGTACAGAGGCTGAAATGCAATATTTAATGCATTTGCTAGGTGCTTATTTGGATTAAAAATTATTATTTGGGGAAAATTGTGCCACAAATGCAATTTATATGCACCTAACTTGCAGCACGATCCTTTATTAGCTTTTGAATTTGGGTTCATTTAAACGGCCCTCTGCTCCGAGTATACTGGAGTCTTCTGACTTTTAAACAAGAAAAGTATGTAGTTCAGGTTTTAAGTAGTGGTATGTGTATTCTCCTTATTATCATTTAGCAAAATTTACAAAAACAGAGAAAACTACGTGTGTAGGGTCCTATGTATTTTTAGCTGTGAACTAATACGTATTTGTGGCTCCAATTAATATTCAACACACCAGGACAGCGTTTGTTTGTGTGACTGAGTCAAAACAAACAAGTGTAAGAGTGTACTCGTGTTATTCAGGAACATATTAAGGTGGCACAATGATGGATTTTTTAATATTGTTTAGGCTTTAATGTAGCTCAGTGGGACAAAGAAATAAAGCATATGAGGCACAGGACACATGCACAAACACAATAACTGTTCGCAGGATACATTGGTACTTTATGGCATTTGCGGTAATTAAAAAAAAATGCTGACAATAGGAAAGTAAAGGCCATAGGCCATCAGAAATTATATTCTTCTTTTCATATCCTGAGAAAAATAAGACTGAATTGATCACCGCAGCCATTTCGATTTCAGTGTCTAGTTTTTCTTTTTGCATTTTATTTCTCAAAGTAAAACCAATTAAACCACCTTATCGCACCTATTTTCTTTGTTTTCTGCACCAAGCGATGAACATCCATTCGGCCAAGCAGTCGCACAGTTAGGAATGACTCAGGGCTCAGCTAATAGCTCCCATCAATAATTCAGGCTCTAATCTGTGTCTGGAGAGCCGTCAGAAATGTGTTATGTATGGACTCATCACAGTGATGCACTGGCTTGAGTCTACAGTTATTTCCTCCCCTTGAAAAAAGGGAGGATTTTTCCCTCACCAACATACCACATCAACTGTGTGCTGACAGCAGAAAACTAATGTTTACAGAAAGTGGAGGAGGTGGAAAGGAGCATCAAAGTATCCGGCTAAAGAAGAAATGCACTTTGCTAACGTCTTTGTCTTTGTGGGGATTAGTAGAAATGTGACTTTAGGGAGCACAGTTCAGTCTCTTCTAAGAAGAATTGCTGATTAGTTTGCAAAATAGCAGGATTTTGCCAACTAGTGACAATAAGACTAGTCACCTATATTTAGACCAACGAGAATTTGGCCAGATGGAAGTATGTTGACCAAACAACTGACCAGTGAACCCTGAGACTATCTCCAACACATAATTCATAAGAAAAAGCAAAGGGTAAATGATAATTAATTAATTAATTCTATCATTATAATGTGTATAATTATACAAAAAAGTGTACAATTCTGTATAATTTGGTACAAAGCCATGATATTAACATTACCAGACCACTGCAACCCTAACCACCCTAATATACACGTAAATACACACAACAGTTACAAAATGCTTTTAGGCATGTAAACAGTTCAGACTGTTCAGACTGTTATAAGCTGATAAGAGGGCAACAGTAACTCAAATAACCACTCATCACAACCAGAAGAGCATCTTTTAACATACAACACATCAAACCTCTAAGAAGATGAGCTACAGCAGTAAAGTCCACACCATCACACGTATCAGTTATGAACAGGAAACTCAAGCTGCAACACTGGGTCACCAACACTGGATGAGAGAAGCGTGGAAAAACATTGTCAGGTCTGAGAAGTTTTGATTTCTGCTGACATTTGGATGGTAGTCAGACTGTGGTCTAAACAACATGAAAGCATGGACCCATCCTGCCCAGTTCTGATGTTGGATCTTGGCACATTTTGGGCCCTTTGCACCACCTGAGCATTGTTTAAATGTCACAGCCTACCTCAGTAATTTTGCTGACTGTTTCCATCCCTTCTGACCACACTGTACCCATCTTATGACAGCTGCTTTCAGCAGGATAACACAACATGTCATAAAGGTCAGATCATCTCAAACTGGTTGTGCCTGACAATGAGTTTGCTGTACTCAAACTCACTGTCACTAGATCTCAATCCAACAGAGCACATTTAGGGTGTGGTGAAATGGGAGATTCACATTGTGGATGTGCAGCCAGCGTTTATGTGGCTCAACACTTTTTTGAATCTATGTCATGAAGGATTGAAGCAGATCTGGGAAGGTGAACTTAACAAACTGTCCGCTGAGTGTAAATTATACAGTGAGAATTTCATGTTACTGATCAATGTTTCCTGTCATTATTTGAAAGAAAATCTTCTGTTTTCGGCTTGGTTTCCAGACTATCAGAAGCACCGGTTCAATCATTCAAAATGTAGCTGCGAAAAGTCACCAGTCATTACAGCACTGGATGATTTCTACATTTTATTTCTCTCTGAAGTGAAACATATATATTGTCATCATGCTCAAACCCCTAAAATCACAGGTAACACGACCAACAAGTCTCCTATGGACCAAACAACAACAGCTGTTGCTATGGAGGCCTTTTACACAGTACCAACTACAAAGGTAAGGTAATTTGATAACCGTCATTACTCTCAGCCTTCTTCATATTCAAAAGAGGGTTTGATGCAGGTCCTGTTTATCAGCAGCAACATTAGATTTTTGGAAGGTAAACACTCTATTCTCACAGAGGTATACAGAAAGCTTCTGTCGTGCTTGTTTTACCCTCAGGGAATTTGCAAGAAAAAAACCACAGGATCCAAATTAAGTGTAAAACTCAAACGATGCAGTTGTGACACTTTGGTATCCATCACAGACATATCAGGTAATTTCTCAGACCACGCTGCGTCTCACTCAACACTTCCCTCAAGAAACACTTCCCCTTAGATTTCACTTGACTAATGGGGCTCAACACAAATTGGCAGATGATTCACAGAGATGTCGAGAAAGCAATAACAACCTCCCTTATCTATGTACACACACACACACACACACACACAAATTTTTCCAAGATTTCAGAGAACATTACATTGACTTTCATTTAGTTCATTCAGAAGTAACTCTTACTTACCAACCCTTTGTCCTAACCTTATCTTAAACTTTGATGTATGTTATGGGCACTTTGTCCCCATAAAGAAGACAAATCCCCTAATGTGACTACAGACAGATTTATGTCACCACAACACGAGTAATTGTCACCCAAACACAGCAATAAGCAAGACCTTTCCTCTCGGGTTTGGCTAGTGACACGAGGACAGCGCTATATGCTGCCTGAGAGTCTTTTCTACCGTAACCTATTTCAGTAATAACGTTAAAGGTGTTTGTGACGGCTAAGAAGACTAATGCGTTTTCATGCCATGAAAAAAATCTTAACTATACTAATATAAATGTCATATCTCACTTCATTTCTCTGTTTACACGATAAAAGCTGGAATACCACCTCTTATTAGCAAACTGACAACCAGTAAAAATCACTTTTTTTTACATCATCTACCTGCCAAATGAGGCTTGAAAAGAAGAAGAAGAAGAAGAAATACCCAGCAGTGCGTAATCAAAATGGAAATGTCATTATTTTTTTCCTCATGCGATTTAAAGAAGCTCACAGCTTTAACACGGTGCTTGACTTGTTCCTAAGTGGAACATTTCGACTGCAGAGAGGATGATGGAAAGAGGGCTGGAGGTTTGTTCCGGTGCTGTAGCAAAATCAAAAATAGTACTTTAGAGAAAAGTAAAGCTTACGATTTTACAGAAGAGGGAAAATAAAGTTGGTCAGGGACAAGACTGTAATTGTAGAAGCTTAGAATATAGGATATTTATCCTATTTACTATGTTAATCGATGTATAAGTTGCTAACTTTTTGCTCTAGTGTCAAATATATTCAGGAAATAAGAATAATTTGCCACTAACATATTAGGACATTCGATATGATTGTAAAGTGTGAAACAAAATGAAACTAAAGCTTTTCGTACAGGATTTAAGAACAACTCTGGTTCAGGATCAAATAAATCATTTTCATGTTTCGGGATGCAAACTGCAGCTCTGGAGTCAGAGTCAGATCCAACCCAGCTCCTTACCTGTAGTCCCTCAATTGCCAGTCGCAGCATGCTGGGAGTCAGTTTGGATGCCTGCTTGAAGGTGAAGTTACTCCAGTCAATGATGAGGATGAAGCCGTTGACCTGCAGCTCGGGATCTTCTATCATAGATTCCAGTGACAGCAAGATAGCCCTCAGTATGTCCACAAACGTGTATCTGAGACGAATGTAAGATAGCTTTTAATTTAACAAAATAGCAGAACAGATTTTACAGTCATGAAGAGAAATGAAAAAAGTATATATATTGACGGTTTGACGAGCTAAGGAGATGAAGGACATTTGTAAAGTTAAAAGTTGAAAATATCAAACATCTCCCAGCTACACTTTCTCAAATTCGAGGATTTATTGCAGCATTTGATTGCAAGATAAAAAAAATCTCTGGTTTGAGTTCTGATTAGACGGGTCAACACCGCGGACATCAAACTCGCTCATGACAAACTCTGATAAAGCCTTTGACATTTGCTAACATTGACTAAAGAATTTATTAAATAAAAAATGTTACTTGAATCAGTTAAAAGACAAGAGTGCTGAACTGCCCTCATTCATAAATCTCATGAAAGAGCTGTAGACGGTATCTCTGAATCAGCCTGACGCAACTTTGTCAGTAAAATTTATTGATAACCTTCACTCAATTTAATTTGGTCATGAGTTAATTATAGGTCTTTAGTTCCTTTGTGCCACAAAATGGTTGTGAAAAAGCTCAAATGTATCTGCTGGGTGTTTTCAGAGACATTTTAATTGCTGTCATTGGTGACTGTGTGGTCCCTGGTGCTACTTTCGTCCATCCCTGTGGGTTTTCATCCAGCTGATACCTCAGATGCTTCACGTACCTATTTAACACTTGTGCTTTTTTTCCTGTTTGTTGTTGCCCTTCATTATCTTATCTCGCTCTTCATCTTTCTCTGCTTCCTTATCAAGAAACCTATTGCCTTAGTCTACAGATAATGTACTTTTTAATTAGCTTATCAGGCAGCAAAACAGATGTCCTTTTCATAATTGCGGGCACAAGTTGAGGCGTCTACTAGTTGAGACTACTAATAATATATCCAGAATATCCAACATAGCTTTTAAGTCTTTCTAAACTGCACTGGACAGAAACAAAAGCATAACATGAAACACCCAGACAGATTTCACAAACTGATTCATGTTCAGAGAGGAGCGATCAATCATTTATTTTATTTTAATCTTATGAATGCAATTAAAACTTGCAAACTTTTTCTACTTGACACCACACTAAAACATAAAGGTTTTATCACACTATGTGTAGTTTATGTGATCAAAGTCATGCGAAAGCGAGCGAGATCTGTCGGGTTATTGTTATTTCCTTGTTTTTTATTAGATACACGGTAAATTATTTGTTGTGTAATCAGACATATGGAACAGATGGTGGACGTCTCTACAGATTCTGGTTATATCCAAAACAATAAACAAGCCCGATTCTATATTGAAGCCAAATAAACTGCAACTTAGAGCTTTAATATGAGTCAAGTTTCTAGCCTTGAACCAGTCTGGCTCAGTCTGTGCTGTTATTTATGAGACAGTAAAGCACTAGACTCTGTGAATGAATAGTGACAGTAATACAGACTAATGAAAAAATATAACAAAAAAATACACAAATGCTGTCTGCAGATTTATCCCTAAAATGTTGAGGAAATGTAATTTCAGCACTTAATTTTACATTAATTTGTTATTTTATTGACTAAAATTGTAAGGATATAAACACAGAGTAATGAGGGGTATCTAACAGCCCCTATGTTACTGAATTAAGTACTCTGGCACCACTTTATCTAAAGCGTAAACATTCATATCTAAAGCCTAAAGTGCTTTGAGTGCTCCGGTAGAGTAGAAAAGCGCGATATAAGAACCAGTCCATTTACCATGTTCTATTTAAACCTGTTACTATCTGATAGTTGTAATTACAAAGATTTTCCCCTGAAATAAGCCACAGTGGGTGAATAAGCCAGGCCCTGAAAGGTCTTGAGATGATTTACAGTATAGGGCACATGAGGCATAAGATGAATACAGGATGTGACAAACACGTGCAAGAAACCAACACTTCGTTTCAAGGCGTCATAAGATAACAAGACAAGGCCCCAGAACACGAGACGTGGGTGTTGTTTTCTGGGTTTAATCTGGTCAACCAGCCATTTAAACGTATTTATACATTGAAACTAAACTTATTTGGAAAGTGAAAGGTGAAAAAAATATATATTTTATGGCCATTGCAAAGAACTAAATTCAACCTAACATCAGCTTTTCATCAACTCATGGTTACCCACTCTGTAATTCTCTGTTGATTATACCGAAGGTCTGAAACTAAAATTGGGTTAAATTTGGTTTAGACCATTATTTAGACATACAGATCACACCTAGCCTTTTTTATTTCTTCAAATAAGCAAACTTAAAAAAATTATTACTGGCCCCGAGAAACAGTTTAAATCTGCTGAGGAGATTGCAGAGAACGATGTACCATTTTAACCAAATTTAGATGTAAACATTTTTTGTAGCCATGTCAACAAAGTGAGAAAATGCCTGTAAAAACTAATTTTAGTATTTTTCAGACATCTATAAAAGTATTTTTGGTGTCTGTTAAACTGCTTTTTACTGGATGGGAAGGTTCTACTTTACAGTCATGCAAACATGCTGAATATATTCACTGTTTAGTTTGAACATATTAGTAGTATGCTAACTTTGTTACTTAGCAATAAATGCAACAGAGCCTGTATAAATCTTATATCAGTCAAAGACATTCAAAAATAAAACTGATCAGTGTAACTTTAGTTTACTGCCTGACATTATTTGGTGATAAACCAAAGTAAACTGCGAGGAACACAAAATTCTGCCTGTGTTGTATCTACAAAATAAAGATTTGATCACCAAAATCGAAATCAAATTGAAAACAGTTCATCCTGAGGGAGACATACAGTCACATCTTCAATGGCCTGCTAAGCTATTACAGCTCAGTTTTTGTTTTGTTTTTTTATAGTTGTTTGGATATTTAAGTCTGGGGCAAAACTGTAGGCCAGGTGACCAGAGCCATTTCCCCAGCTTGGGTAAAAAGACTAAAAACCATGCAGCCAGACTTGAGAATATTTGACATTGTGTGTTTATGCTGAAATAAATTATAAATAAGTACAAACTGTACTGTACACCCTCCCCCCTGTCCACAGACCTCTGGTGTGAGGCTGTGATTTGTGATTTGGGATAGGCTACCTCTCAGTCCTCATTAAAAAAAAAAGGTATTTCGCTTCATCATCACGCTGCAGACAGTGTGCTGTGACTGGACACAGCCCAGACAGCACCTTTGGGATGAACTGGAATGCTGACCCTGAGCCAATTAGTCCAACATCAGTGGGCCACCTCACTAAATGTCCTCCCATCTTAAAATCCTTGCCAGGAAATGAGCTCAGCATTTACACAGTGTATGGGTGATATATATGGATATTTAGCTACATGTGTTTTTATTATTTTGGATTTCATACTTTTATTTTAATATTCCCATAAAGATTATTTAGTTGGTTAAAGAGTTCTTGTAGTTTCCTAGTAAACAACAGCTGTGTGGTGCTGAATAGACAGTTCCATAAACCAGTCTCCACTTTATAAAGATTAAAACACTGATTTCTACTCTCCAAAAGCCCTTTTTTCTTCTCATTAATAACAACCCCTCTTTGTTACCTGCTCTGGTCCCAGTTGGCAGCGAACAGGACCAATATTTTCCTGCCATATCTGTCCAGATTGGAGAGCACGCCAGGGAAACCATCCTTCAGGGCCTGCTTAATGCCCGGGTCAGTTGCTTTCAAGTTCTTGAACATGTCTAGGTTTTGCTGTCTGTACTCAAAATACTGTGCCAGCAGCCGGAACGCCTCGAAGTGATTGAATTTCCTGGCTCGGAGGAATCTGAGGATAAACGCATCGTCTGTCCTGAGGAACCCGATGTCCGGTCTGGTGATGATCATGTCCCTGACCTCCTGGATGTCCTGGTGTAAAGTCTCAGGGTTTTCTTTCAGCTCTACCTTGGCCTTCTCCAGGGTCTCTGGAGACAAACCAGCCTGTAAGTGAGTCATCTTTTGCAACAGCTGTCCCTCCACGGGGGATCACACCACACCAGCTTCCAATGAAACACCAGTACAAATGGTTACCCCCGGAGCAGCAACAGGGTAAGAAAGTATACTGAAGTGTTTTCTTCACGCTTTCCTGATCAGTAGCTGACTTCAGATGGAGGCCTGCTGCTCTGTAGACGTAATCCACCCTGAACTGGCACACACGCAGCTGCTATGATGCTCCTGTGATGCATAATCAACATATGGGCCATTCACTTTTTGCGCACAGAAAAAAATCAGTTCCACCACAAAGAATTCAACTTTATCACAATTTCCCACCATGTATATCATGAATCAGGTCCTCCAGCCTTCAGGCGGTACATCCAACCTGCTGATCCGGGCGGCCTGAGCTCGGAGTCGACAGACAGCCGCTTCCCTCCATGTCAGAGCCTCTCCTCTCTTTCTCTCTCTTTCTGTGGCACAATGACGACGACAGCATCACCGACTCCCCGGCGTCGCTCGCGGCGGCCAGGCAATGCGGCACGACCCTGCAGCAACCTGCTATATCATCATCATCATCATCCCTCCGCCTTCACAACGCATCTCCATCCGCCGACCGACCAATACTGGTGCTGGTGCTACTGGTGGTGCCGCCGACGGCTTCGCCACAGTCCAATCGAAGCAGATTTGGCCGCTTTTTTCTGCGTCTACATCCCAGTTTTACTGATCTCCGCTGCTCGTCCACATAACCCAAAAACTGGGTGTGAATTTAGGTTTCTAATAATGTTCATGAAAGCCCCAAAAGAGGGAATCCAGCAGCACAGGTGTCCCGCAAGGTTTTGTTCCCCTCCTGCCTCCGTTTTTTTTTTTTTTTTTTGAAAGGGGTGGGGTAGATGTGTGCGTGTGGGGGGATTGCCGTCTCCGCTCCGCCTGCTGCTGTTGCTGCTGCCGTCTGTTCGCCGGGAAAGTGACTGACAACAAGAGTCTGTGATCCGGTCGGTGTACGGTCACCACCGGCGGGGAGGAAGGGGGAAAGGGGTGGGGGTAGAGTGTAAGATGGAAAGACAACAGATGCAACGAGGAACGAAGGGAGGGGAGAGAGGGCCAGGTGGCAAAGAGATGGAGAATAGCTGTAAAAAAGGATGCTCAGCGGAGGAGAGAGCAGGCAACTCAAATGAACGGGTGTAGGGCGATAAGATGAAGGTAAATGCTGAAGACAGGGAGGGGTTCTGGGCTTTGGAGGCCCGACGGAAAGTTGGGAACCTCTATGTCACCTTCTTCTTTCTCTGTTTCACCTTAAAGAACCGTTTGTGTGTAGTTTTTATATCTGAAATTATGCACAGGTTAACTTTAATTTGCATTTAACTTTAAATTTAATGTAATTTTTGATGAAGGAAATGATAGAAAATGTGCTGTAGCTTTGTATTTTTCCTCGCCTTGCTGGGATTTCATAAGAAATATGAACTAAGAATCATAATGAAGACTTCACTGAATTAAAATCTGTCCTGTCACAAAGCCATCCTGTCCTGGGTTCTTGTTTTTCTGTGTTTTCTGTACATTTTTATCTCCATACTGTATATCACATATGTTCTAAAGCTTTCTAAACACTTTTTATAAAAAAAAAATACTTAAAGTGTTTGATATTTCATTTACATTTCATGTGAAATCAGTGCAAGTTTTAAGGTAATTTATTAAATGTCTTAAATAAAATATGCATTCGCTCATTAAATGCTATTTGGAAGAATGTAACCTCGTCCATGGGTTATTTAAATTCCCCCAAAACATCAAAGAATTGACCTACAAACCCTCCCATCTGCTCAGTTTGAATTTCTAGAGTGAACCTGTTTTTTTGCATTTTAGAGTTATGTGTTATCTACGGCAGAAAATAAGAACGACAGTGCATCAAATATAAAATCTGTTAGTGTCATGAGGATAAGGGAAGAGATCACTGCTAAAACTGGCGACATGAATGCAAACAGCAGACTTTTCCACCGAAACAACCTCAGCTTCTAAGCATGAGTTCAGTAATTCATTTCCCCTTTTGTTCAGATCATTCCTGGCTTTTTTCTGCCATCGTACATGAAATGCATTAAATTCTTCCTGCAGAAGAATTTATGGCACCATCAACTGCCTCATTAACTCAAAATATCACTCACATAACAGCTTGTTTTAGTCGGTTTTTAACATATTCTTTTGTAGGTTCATGTCTGCCTGGGGGAGGTCTCACACTAGAATAAAGCAACAAGGAGCTGGACGAAGGGAAAGAGGAAGGTGTTAGTTAGAAAGATGCAAGAATGGACAAATTATGAATTATTATGTTACTTATTTATTACTTGTGTAGTAAAACAGGTCGTATAGTACATGGCTGTTTGTTGTTTTATGACTGAAATGCTGTTGATAGTTATAATAGCAAGCTAGAGGGTTGTATGGGGGAAGGGGAGTGCAAATGAATAGATGAATGTGGAGAGTGAAGTTGGGTGGGGGGTGACAGGGGTGACACCTGCTCAGTGCTGACCAGACAGCTGCACTTTAACAAGCTGAATTAATTTCTATTGTATCTGCCTGCTTGTCTCTCTGCCGGTTTAGTGTGTCACTGCACACAGTCGAGTGCGCAGCCCAGTCACCTCTGCTGCTGCCTGCAAAAGCAGCACAGTCATGACAAAAATGCAACACATGAAACAAGTAGAGAGTAGAGGGGGGGCGGGATGCACTTAGAGTCTTTCTTCTACTTAATTTTTACTTGATTTTTAAAAATCAATAGTGACATTTTTTTTGTTTCCTTGTTGAAGAACTACACCTGCAAAAGCAGAGCCTGTGTGGTTTTGGCAAGAGTAAACATAACTCTCTCCCACACACACAAACACATGCACATACACAAAATCCCCTAAGTTCTTGTCAGATGACTTTTGCATATGTTGAATCTGAAGTCGGCAAATCAGCAAAGCATCACATCCATATGCACCACTTTCATGCTTTGATGTAATTTTACAAGTTTAGACCATCCGTGCTTGTGTTTATATAAGGTTGTGCATTTTAATTATGGGTTTTCAAAAGTTGTGATGACTGTAGAAAGCCAGAATATGACTTGATATGGCTTGTCAACGTCGCTGGCCTCCCTCCCCACAGGCTGCGCTTGGAGAGACCTAGATTTAAATGGTTGAAACCAAAAGAGCCACTTCATGGCTCTAGATGGAACTCAGTTTTACTGCTTATAATAAATTCAAGCGAATTTAGCAGATGGCGTAAATGCACACATCTGTCAGAAGTGAACTGTGTAAACTTACATTGTTAAAGTTGTGGTTCTATTTTCTCACACCCTCGTTTTATCTTTGAACACTTCAGTTCAGATGCTGCCACTATGAGAGGAAATGCATGTAGAAAAAAAAACATTTAGAAATGCAAATAGGTCTTTTAAGCCTTTAAGTGAAAAATTCATCTTTCAGAGAGCACATTTCCTCCTGAATTAGCACAAATGAAATGGCCACCCACTCACAACAAAACAGGTCCAAGTATGTTATGATGCTCTGCAGGAGAGTTCTCAGCCGTGCCACCTCTTGGCTTACTTTTTCTTTTTTACACTTTTTATGCTACAATATTGCCACATCACTCATGCACCTGCTGTCTAAAGTGTGCATTGGAAGGTACATACAAAGCAATGATTGGAAGGTACCATGTTACTGGGGATGGTTACAGGGGCAAATCCTTTATGGATGGTTGGGGGAGTACTGAGCAAGTAACAGGCTCCCAGGGGAAGCGATGGGGTTGCAGTGATTGCCCTCAGCTCTAATGGGTTGGTGTAAGAGCAAATTGAATGTATTGAGGACAGGCATTAGACATTACCTCTGGTTTCCAAAGGCCCAGCTGCTATTTTCAGACTTGATTTGCCTTTTAGTCTCCAAGGACCAAATAGCTAATTAACAAAATGGAAAAACAAATGTTTTCACGTTTCAGCTGACCAAGGATTCTACTGCTCTACTGACCCTGCAGGTGAATTTCCTGCCTTTTCTTTTTAAATGTCGGACAAAGACAGACAGAAGACAAATGTAAAGACATCTAAAAATAAGATGTAAATGAGCTACATGCAGCTTCAGTGCTCTTGGCATTAATTCTCCAAAGTCTCTGGACCTCCAATACAGGGATACATACTCTCATTCTGCACTTTTATCATAGCAGAGGGCAGCACTGTCTCATATAAAATCTCAGCTGGTTCACTGCTTAGTGACTCAAGACTAAATACTCAAACAATTCACAGACACCTTGTGTCTCGTGCATGACAGCATTGTCATCCTAGAAGAGATCAATCCTATAAGTAAGTGTTTCATTACTCAGAACAACTTTGTGCTAATCTGTAGGAACTCTTTCCTCTACGGGGACAAGTGAATGTGAACCATTCCAGCAAAAATATAAGCACAAAGCATGAGGATCCCACCAGTATTGTATTTAGTTACTTCTTTAATATATCGAATTTATGTTGTACAGCATTTGTTTGCTTTGGCATCTCAATGATTCTTGGAACTGCTCTATGTCATTTTAGATTTATTTATATCTGCACATAGATGTTAAATTGGGGGATGCACCAGAGGATTGCAAAGAGTTTTGCAAAAGGGAAAGTGCTAAACGTTGTGATATGGCATTTGAGGCTTGAGATATTTCATTTCTGGAACACAAACAAACCAAACACTATCCATGTGACTGAAACCAGCACCAGATAATTACAGATGGGTACGTATCCTCTGACATTTACCTGGAAAACACTCTTGCTTTGAAGATATTTACTTACTTACTTTGTGTTTTCCTGAAATCACAGAAAACCGTCTGCTGAACATGTAGTCTTTTATGGCACTTTGGCGCCCTCTGGTGGTCAATAGGACTTAATTCAATTCTGTAAAATCCTTACTGGAACTAAAGAAAAAAGATTTAGCAAATTCTAGACTTAGACAACATTTAGAGTTCTGTGAACTCTTTTCTAGTGTGGACCAGATTCAATGACGGAGTTTATTGATAGACTATATATTTGCAGTTTACGACAATTTATTACCAATAATAACATTAAACACTATATGAATTAGGATTTTTTAATTTCATAGCGAAAATGTCAGGCAGTTATCAAAGATTCTTTAGTTCTAGAAGCATAATCAAAATGTTGATTTTCTGATGCATTAAAGAAAAAGAAAAAAGAAAAGAAAAAGACTGACTGGAGCAACAGCAGATGGCAGCAAGCGTACATTTAATGAACTTGCTGGTACAACGTGAGTGCCACAAGTGATGTGATTTTAAACACCTGAGTAATTTCTTTTTCACATATTTTCAATCAAAAACAATCTTTTACACATTTAAATTTAAATAAGAATGTATAAATACATTTTAAAATATTTTAGTGGTACAGATGGATGCTGTGCAAAAGTCCAGAAGTCATTTGCTTTGACAGCATGCAGACAAATGAGAAACATTGAAATGTAATTAGGACAAGGAAGAAAATTAGTGATTGATGCTCGTTTTGAGTTTGACTTTTGCTGCATTTTGTTAAGGTTTTGTTAATGCTGTTTATTCAACTTAATTCAAGAATAACACGTTTCATAATGAGTCATTTAGTACTATTCAAGCACTGTTTTATCCCATATATCAAATCTTAAAATGACAATGGATTACAGCTAAGGTGTTATTATTTGTATTAATATTTATAAAAATTCCAGAATGACCCCAGGAAAACAAAGTCTGGACAGTTAAGATGGGAAAAGAGGGAAAATCTGGTGGTTTCCCTTTGCCCCTCCCCTGAGCCCCAGATTCAGTTGCTCCTCTGCTGGGTGTGGGACCACAAGGTCAAGACAGTGTTGATCAGGTGGAATAAACTGGATTGTAACCCCCACGGTGATCAAAGACACTTGTCAACATGCCACACCCCTTTACCCCTCTCCTCCTGTCCAAACCTCTCTGTAGGCAAACC